GGCGAGGGTGTATAGGTTGCTTGGATGGGAATACAGGAAACCGGAGAGGGCCCCACCGGCTTGTCCGATGAAACCTTCGGCTTCCAAAACTGGAGCCAATGATTCGGTGAGTTTCTTGTTGTTGTGGTTGTTTATAATTTTGGATTTATGGGATGAAGTTGTTAGGGTTTTGATTTGTCTATCTCTCCATGTGTGTATATCTTCATGTTTTCCTGAGGTTTGAGGGAAATTATAATCATATATTCTGCTTAGCTGATTTTCTCTTGGTGATGTATTTAGATCACAGGATTGTGTGAGGCGGACTAACCGTTAGGCGGGTCAACCCGTCATACATTTGCAATGAAAATGCATACCCTTGTTTGTTGTGGTATTTTAGACCCGTCATGCATTGGCAATGAGAATGCATACTCTTGTTTATTTTGGTATTCTAGAGTATGACTGTGACATTTCAATTTGGAAGTATGCATCTTGATGGAAAAGTATGATTGTCGATTAGGCCTACCTAACAGTAGGATTATTGCTTATTGATTGGTGATCCCACTAACGGCAATTTGTGTGTGTAGATTTGAGGTGTCCTGCTTGTGTATTTACCTGGCAAGTGTTATAAGTATTGCCTTTGAATGTTTGTAGTATGAACTATGAACTATGACAAAATATTGTGTTAAACAAGTAATTTGTCAATGGAGCCGACCATTTTTTATGCCTTTTTTAGGTTTTTTTTCCTTACTTCTTAGGGTTCTAAGATTTTACTTGTTTATAGGTACTGATTTGTTCAAGCTGTTTTACAATATGTGCCTTTTGAACTAATTCATTCTGTTTGGGTTTTTTTGCTAAACTTGCAAAAATGAAAACAGAAAAAAAGCAAATGATGTAAAAACAAATTTGTATGTATTTATAGTTGAATACAAGATAGGAGAGCCTTTTCATTGCTTTGACACCATTTTATTTTAGAGAGGAATGTTACACACTTTCTCCAACTATGTGATGCAAATCATGAACCTTTAACACTATATGTTATGAAATACAAACTTGTAGAATAACCTGACTATTCTCTCATCTTTCCTTTAGTTACGATTTTTCACAAAAGTTATGATGAACTTTCACCTTCAATATCGGTGTTAAAACCCAATTTTATTTTACCCTGCAACCACTTTTTCTTGTATTTTTGGTCTGATTTTCTGTTTGTGACAAAAGGTGACAGGCAAACATTACCCACCTGACTCAGATCCATCAACAAAGCCGTCAGAAGCGGACGATCTCAAACGGGAATAAAACTAGTTGTTAACTTGTTCTGCATCATAGGTTAATTTGTGTATGGACTGGTGAAAAATTTAAATAAATGATCAAATGATGGATTATATATACATATATGGAACTGTTGAAATACTTATTATTGCGAATGGATGACGATTTTCATTTGTAATGTTAAAATCGAAGTTAAAAGTTTCAGTGCATATTGTCCAGTATTAGGTTTGGAGGGATGGTTATGTTTGGTTGCTTTCTGGTGAATTACGCCATAAATGCTAAAGATGTTTGTTCATTACTTCATTGAGTTCGAGTTTTCTGGTGAATTACGCCATAAATGCTAAAGTAGGCTAAATAGCATTACACAAAATTCAATAATACGCTAATATAGCGGATATGGATTGCATCAAAACTCCAGAGAAATTCAATTTTGGCTCAGTTCTGCTAAATTTAGCTTTCAGTTGCCTTATTGCTTATCCTAAATTGTCCGGCTCGAGTGCCTTGTTGAAGGATTTTAATAATGTCACGAGCACCAAACTGCAGCTCCAAAATTTTAGGCATATACACGAGTCATGACCAAATTAATGTGTGGTCAATTTAAGACTGTTGCGACTTTCTGCCGACCCACTTGTCTAATGGCCAGCCGACAAGCACACCGAAAGATAACAACTTGCAATTTCAATTTCGTTTTAGTAAATTACTTAATCTACTTTATTCACAAGTTATAAGATTAGAAAATTGATGAATTGATTTGTCATATATTTTTAAATAAAAATTATCTATATATATTTACACTCTGAAATAATATAGTTTTATTTATAGTAAGACAATTCAATTTGAAATTTAAAAAGTATACCGTACCGTTATATGTCTATCGTTGATTAGTTTATAATATATAAGTGATTGATCAATGTACATAGCAATAAGATTTTTATGTTTGGCACAAAATTAGATTTGCATTTGTCTGGAGCAAGTGGGTGCTTATCATTTTCACTCACTTTTGGCTACAAAGACTTTTATAATGGATCTTGTTAGGTGGTTCTCTGTCTTACATGAGATTCCATTATCCTGATATATGTATATTCTCAATTTAAACAATTTGCCATTTCTAAAGAAAAAGACTGAAAATATTATTTTACTTTTACTCTTGCTTCTTAGTTTTATGAATAAAATATTTATCGTGTAAAATATAAATAAATAAAAGCCACACAGCTCTCTATTATAATTATTATTTTTCCATTAGCAGATTTTATTTACTAATTATTATTTTGTTATTTTTATACAAGTCCCACTTTTCACAATTTTCCCAAATAATTTTTTTCTGCAATAAGAAAAAAACATGCAAATGAAATTATATTCAATCCCACATTTTGGGAATCTGATTCTACTCTCTTAATAAACTCATGACACTGCATATGGTAGAAATGTATATAATTGATTGCTGTAAAATCAAGAAATGTTTATTTTGAAACTTAGTTAAGTTCTTGAATTTGATTGTTTAACCTCATCAATCCGCTAACTAATTTGTTGGATAAACAACTTATAAATAAAGAGTTTATTTTATTAAATCTTTAAATTCAAAGCCCTGTTTTTGAAAAAGCTCAATAGAGAGAGTAATGTATAAGGTAGAGAGTATTTGTAAAATATTACATGGAAATTTTAAAATAATTATACAAATCACTGCATACAACTAGGTTGACCCGCCTAACCATTAGACCGACATACATTTTCTATTAAGATGCATATTTTCACTAAAAAAATTCATAATATAAAAACAACATAAACATAAATATGACATTTGATAATATAACATATATTTTTTTAATATTATAACGGATTGACCCGCCTAACAATTAGATTGCACCAATTACACGGTCTCACATAAGAATTGTGTAAAATGTGGAGTTTATAAAGAAAATACATGTTCAAGTAATTTGAAGTATGAAATAGTTGCATGATCAGTTATTTCTCGCGGTCCTCACGAGGTGGCGCAACCATCAGGAAACAGACAAAAAATTCCACAAACTGAGAAGAAAAAAGAAACCCTTTTGTTAGTGAAGAACTGAAAAAAAGAACAGATATTTTTGCCTAATCACATGTGTTTTCATCTTCTTAATTTTGACAACCACCCTTTTGCAAAGCGCCCCAACTTTTGCTAGCCCAGAAACGGCAACAATAAGCGTATGAAACGACAGCAGAGATATTGTGCTTGCTCAAACGCGAAAGCTCGCTGTTCATCTGCTACAGAGGGAATAAAGGTTCCATTTTTTCTTTCTGGTTGGAGATTGTGAGCGAGGCCCACTATGGTTTATGCAGTGAAAGAGGGATTTTTTGCTGTTATAAAGTGAAAAGATTCGAATTTTGGTGAGAAAAAAGTTGTTTGAAGGGATAAAGAGGGGTTTTTGGGAGATGGGTTTAATGTACGATGATGCTGTAATAATCAGGCAGTCGGAGAAAGAGGATGAGCCGTGTGTGATTACTGTGAATTGTCCGGATAAGACTGGTTTGGGTTGTGATCTTTGCCGGATAATACTCTTTTTTGGACTCACCGTTGTTAGAATTGGTAAATTTATTTCCCCTCTTTTTTGATTTTTTGGCATTGTGGTTTATTGCAGCAGATTGTGAGGAGGAAAAAGGGAATACTTTTGTTGTGGTAGTGAATGTTTTTTGGTATTTTATTGGGTTATTGATAGTTTTGCTTTGTTCCATGGCTTGACTGAAAGACTGAAAGGAAGGGTTTCTATTTGGTTTCTATGTTTTTTTGTTTTTGCTTAAAATTTGTTGGGTGAATTTTCTCTTGGATTGCTAAAATACTGGATGACTTAATTGGTACAATCTGTTAGCTGCAAGCTTATTAGATAGCTTAACATTTCAATTTTTGTCTCTTGCAACAAATTATGAGGAAGAAAAAGGTAATACTTTTCTTGTGGTAGTATGAATATTATCCGGAATTTTATTCGGTTCTTTATAATTTCAATTTGTTCCATGTTTTGACTGAAAGGAAGGATTTTTGTTTGGTTTTTCTATCTTTTTAATTTTTTTGGGTGAATTTTCTCTTGAATTGCTAAAGTACTGGATGAGTTAATTGGTGTAATCTGTTAGCTGCATCTTGTTAAATAAGCATTGGGGAATTTAAGACCTAGACAGTTGAAAGATCATGTAAATGAGCATTGGGGAATTTAGAAAAGCTCTCCTAAAGTTTTTATCTTCATATTATTCTTTATGGTGAATAAATCTATTATTCTATTCTGATAATTAATGTGTTTCATCTTA